TTATTTGTAATTTTTACTCGTTATTTTTTAACAAAAATATCAGATTTTCTTTCATTTTTACAAAAATAATTTTAATATTATATGAATATCCTAGTTTGAACAAAAACTATATTATTGAATGATTATTCTAAATTTTAGAAGTGTCTTATGTAATTGTTGCATTCTCCATTGGGATATTGGTATTATATCTTATTACATCAGATTTCATAATGCCTTTGAACGAATTTCGTATACGTATCCTTCATTACGTTACATTATTTTCTGTCAATCAAACCATATATTTTTATATATTATACTTGGATTTTTTATTTGTTATTACATTTGGATTATTATCTGTAATATGTACAGAATCGATAGTCGGACTTTGTAGTTATCATTCAAGCGTGTTGTTTAAAATTATTAGGTAAGTAAAGTTATCATATTCATCTCGCGTGATATTTATTCATATATATTTATTATATATATATATATTATATTATATTATATTTATTACATATATATTTATATGTAATAAATATTAACAATTATTGTATTTATAATATTTTTTAAAATATGAATTAACATTCATAAGATTTTAATTTATTTCAAGATCGCATAATTTTGATAAATTTAATACTATTTGAAATATTATATTTTTCTTGCTTCTTATATAGAATATTAATATATTATATTGATAAAACATTAATAGATTGTACTAATTAAAAAAAATTAAAATATATTAGATAATATACATTAAATAATTAATACAATTACAAATTACAAATTAATACAAACAAATGTGTGTTACTGCAAACAAATATGTTCGAGAAATCGACTTGAGAAGTTTTGATTTAAAATTCTGAGATGATTTCGAACAATTCTATTTTAGCATAAATTTTCATTTTATTATTCGTTATTAACGAAAGTTATTAACATAAGTATTAACGAATGACTGGCCACAGTTTTTCAATAATAATTCCTTAGCAAAATGAAAAATTTTCAAAAAGAAAAAGTTGCTTGAAATCTTTTAGATATTATCATTTAATAATCTTGTCACTATTAAATTGACATGATCGATTTTAGCAATTTTGAAATTTTAAATATATACATAAATACATATATACTATTACATAAATACTAATCGCATATTACATAAAAAGAAAAAGAATTTAAGTTAAGAAATTAAGTACAATTTCTAAGAAAATTATAATGTTTTAAAGATTTGTTTTAAAGACTACCAATACTTTGTTGATCAATTGTTGAGAAATATATACAAAACAGTTTTAAACATAAAATTATAAAGTTCTTTCTTAAGCAATGTTTATTTACAAATTTCTGTTTCTAATCATCGGATATAAAAAAACATTACTTTTTTAACTATGTTTATTCTGTCATCGAAGCAAATTGACTCGAAACTCACAGAATTTTATCGTGTGGTGGATATTCATAATCAAGCTGGTAAATTATCCAGTTGGTAAATTAAAATATGATAATATTATAAGTTGATCTAGCAGATACTCATATTAATATTTTATTTGTAAATTTTATATGATAATGAAAGACTTATCAATATCATGATAAATAATTCAGGAAAACAGTTTATGATGTCTACTCTTCTAACTATGATTTCAATAGCTTTAAGTCTCATCA